ATTTACTTGCATTGAGTACTGTTGAATTCATGCATCTCTAGTTGAAAAAATCACTGGCTTAAAGAGTTTGATGTCAATAGCCGGTATGACCACAACTGTCACTATTGTCAGGGCCTGTGTTATGGTAATGTTTACAATAAAATCTGGTTTGTCATTGATCTCAGGTACTTCTCATCATACTTTGGAGGTTGGACCTATTAAACACGCCATCGAGCCCGTCAAATTACTGCTTTTAAGATTAGAGAAAATAAAAAAAAAAAATTTTTTTGATCAATTTATTAAGAGATGGACTCAAAACCCGCTTAAAGAGAAAAAAAAAAAAAACTTTAAATTGATAGGATGCTGGTTGGGCGAAGGATCTGGTACGAAAATAAAGAAATTTTTAAAGAAAAGAAATAAAGAAAAAAAAATGGGAATTAGAGAAAATATGTAAGTGAGAGAGTGGCGACCTTTTTGTAGGCCCTTTATTATTTTTTTAAATGTAATTTTTAATGGAAAAAGTCCATTGGGTGACGCTTGGAGCGAGTAGGGTCATGGTCATTGTACGGACAAATAGTTATTTAACAAATTACAACTTTAAAAGTAAGAGAATTTAAAACTTAATTATGTAATACATTTACCATTTGATTTATAATCACTAAATTAAAAAAGTTAAATTTAAAAAAATTAGAGAAAAATAAAAAATTGAAAAGAAAAACAGAAAGAGACAAACCTTAGATTACAAATTAGAAAACACGTTACCACAAACCCTTTTACAATTTTTTTAAACGTAATTTATAATGGAAAAAGTCCATAGCGTGAAGTCATGTTGGAGAGAGAAGGGTTATGGGTCGTTGTACAGACAAATAGATATTTAATTTATACCGTTAAATTTTGGTAATTTTTTTAAAATCATGTAATTTGAGGATTAATTTTGATTTTATTTAATAAATTATCTATTAATTATTATTATTTTTTATTTTAATCTAAATGTTTTATTTTCTTTTAAACTTATCTATTAACTTTCAAAATTATTTTATTTTTATCTACTCAACACAACACCGTTACTTATCTGTTAACCACCGTTTACCACATTGACGGAAGTTCTAGTTTTTAATCACGTGGCACCATGCAAGTTGCCCTGTAACACCACATAAGCAAACTATTGACCTAAAAAAAGAAGGAAAAATTTCAGAGCATTGTTTCTCTTTAATTTTTTTTTTTTTTGGTGACAAGAGCAAATTTCTTGTCTCATTATTTTTCTTTAATTTTGTTTGCCACTGTTTCCTTTTAATAAAAAAATCTATTATTAGAAAAATAATAAAACTAAAATATAACATTTTAAAAAAAATTTTAATTTAACAAGTGTCTTTAAAATACAAATTAAAATATATTTATTATATTTTTTTTATAAAAAAATATAAAAATAAACTTTAATTTTATTAACCAACCAATTAAAATAT